ATTACTATCAGATGTAACTGCATTTCTCGGTGTTATTTCAGCAAAACCTTCACTTCTATCCGGTGTGTATGTTCATCAAATTTTCAAAAAATTTTTACAGTGCGGAACAATTTAAATCTACACGTCTCTGGACTGAATGACACTGGGCGATTGACATATACAGAGCTATTGAATCCATCTGACAATAATGTTGTTGTATTATCGCTTTATAAACGGTATACCTTTATCTAACGGTTATTCTGAAAGACCACAAAGTTCTAGCCTTTTTAAAGCACCTTTAAAGATCATTTACTAAAATCAAGGTGAATTTTGTAGGCTAAACTGCGCTTATGAGTTCTACTCTGATAGCTTTACGTGCCCAGACAAAGAGTTCTTCATAATGCTAAATGGCGTTGACGATTACGGTCAAAATTTCCGTCGTGAAATTGGTGTTGCTAGTTGTGACTAATATAGCAGAAATTTCGCGTTTGTTCTAAAAACAGTTTAATTTTTTTTCCTCTCTTATTTTGATAACTGTTTATTGAAGAATAAAAAACTTCAGTTTGCATTTTTTTTCTAAATTGTAAGAAGCATTTCTTAAGACAGTATTTAGAGCAACAATTAATTGACAAAATATATAGTATTGTTACAAGTCTAAATGCCAAATGCAAAGAGTATATTTGATGAAAAACAAGTTTTACTCCCACCTCAACACTTTTTGTTTTTTCTCTGAATTAAACATATTTCAAAATAAAAAGAAAGAAAACAATAAATTTATTGCATTTTGAAAATAAAAAAATCGCAAATTTCTTTGCTAAAGATTTACTGCATGTTATTGACCTCATTAATGTATATGGTACATAGACAGCTCCATGCTAACTACAAGCTAATTTCACTTTCATCTTTTTTTTACTTGTCTACTAAATACGAGACTAAATAAGTCAATATTACTTAAATTTCTCTGAAGAAAATGTTTTCAACTAGTTTCTTCTGAGACCAGAAACCAAGAAATTTGCGTTTTTACCTTAACAGACAATGTAACGTTTTTTGGAAGAGCAGTACCAACCGTATTTATGATTAATCGTCAATGATTCAGCGTCAACAGAAGGACTGACACAAGAATTATACTTCAATAATTAAATTCAGTGGACTTGTTCTTTGCTTAAAAATAAATCTGAAAGACATGTTTGCGTATCTACAACTTCCAACCCAATTCTGAAATTTTTTCAGCCGTTAAATGAGGAAAGAAAATGAAAAAAGAAAACAACATAGCTAATCTTTAAACCCTTATTGTACAAACACGTAAGTGATAATCAAAGGTGTTAACGAGATCCTCTTTTCGCTTTGCGAGAAGTATAACGGTACCGTAAACAACAGGTTTGCTCCGCGCATTTTACGTATCCGCTTGGGCAAATGCATACCTAAAAAAATTTGCTAATTTCTAGCGAAATTCGTTTGCAACAACTAGAAAACGTACTTGATTAGTAGAAAATTACTATAGTGTTTACAACAAATTCTTCTTATTCAAAGCAGCTAGAAGTTTTGTTTTTAGACCTGTGAATCACAGGGCACTGTTGCTTCCCCAAATTGGCTTTGAAGGTTGTTGAAACTAGTCGTGCACGACGGTTGACATATTGGTTGGCAAACTGGTACGCACTGCATCGGTGTCTGTGTTGTTGAAATTGGCTGAAGCGGATAGTTTTGTGGTTGTGACTGTGATACGCATGAGCCGCATATGTTCTGGACCTGTTGGGTTGGGTAGCAACAGGAATCTACTGGAAAAGTGCGGTTGTTGTTTCTTATTCAGTTATATGAAAACAACAGATTATTTGTTATACTATTAATTACTGCTCTTGTGTAATAGTACAAAGAAAAGTACCCGCTGGAAGAATACATTCGCATATTGGTTGAACTTGTATTTCCACACAACACGGATTTCCTGCTGCTTCTGCAGATTATGTTTTTTGTTCATATTTTTGAGAACAAAAGTTAAAAATTTCACAAAAATTAGTGTGAGGTTCTATTTACTTATTTTTATTATCAGCTATTATTTTACTACCCAACTGTTTAATGACTGCAAATGATGTAGTTCTGATTACCTGTCGGAGAACAAATGCATGTTTGTGTTTGTGTAGGAGCTTGTGGCACGAACTGTTGCGGTACAGTTGTAGTAACCGTAAACGGTGTCATCGTTGTAGTGTAAACTGGTTCAGAAATATAGTATGAGGTTGTAGGTTGTAATTGTTGATCTGGTAACGGCAACTGTTGAGACACACAGCATGGATTAATCGCTAGTATAATCAGAATGCAGCAAAGATTCTGTGATTCTGCTGTACATGGAGCACCACATGGATTATCTTGTGGAATAGCTGCAAAAAATGGGGATTTAAAATAAAGATAATTTAAAATTCAGTAGTTACTTTATATTTATTACCTCTGTTGCCAAGAAAAATGGAATGGTTTTCTTACAAAATTCTGTTTTTTTATAGTGCCAAAATAAGAAATTAACAGCAGCTTAAAAGTTGCTTTCCTGTTAAATAGAAAGGAAGCGCTACAGTTTAGTATGGTTTGGTTCAGTTTACACATGTTTTATTAATAAAAAATAGCAATTTTCAATGAAGTCGCAGTACTTCAATCTTCACACTTATTATTTTTAATTAATGGTAGATTATTGCTCACCTGTCACGTTTTTCAACTGCTAAAAAACTGTTATGCTCCTTTTCTAATCACTTTTTTTTTAACCACAAACTTAATTAAGGCTTGACAAATTTTAGCATACTGAACAGATGTAAAAGATAAGTGTTACATTTAAAGATAACAATAGACTGTAGAATAAGTTGAAGGGAAAATAAGTAAATTATCAAAGGTTAAAATGCCTAAGAGATATGGCTTTTTGTTGACAGCAAACTTTTTTTAATGCATAATTGTTTGCAGTTATTTATAGAAATAATTTAGTTTTACAGTAATCATTATTTTAATACGATACTTTTGTGAATCATGTTTTTAAATTGTTGTTTATTGTTTTTATTTACAGTCTATTTTATGATATTCAAATTTTAAAGATATTTTAAACGTCTAATGTCTTTAAGGTCGATAAAATTTTGCTT